ACTTTACTTATATATATATATATATATATATATAGAGAGAGAGAGAGAGAGAGAGAGGAGAGAGAGCTGAAGCTCTAAACAATCAAATTTGAACCGACCTCAAAAATTTTACTATAATATGAAGTTTGGATACCCGAATATCTTCAAATTGATCATCACAACATCAAAAAGCATGGACATAAAAAAAAAAAGGGATTTCAAATTTTGGAAATAATGTATTTTGTAATACATTTTTTGACCGTCAATTTTCAAAATTTTCAATTTTTCATAAATCTGTCGATCTACACTATTTTTGAAGAAGCTTTTCATTCTAATGAACAATCACAAAAGAGAAAAAAATTGAAAACATAACCTAAAAAGTATTTTTTTAACCCAATTAACATAAGCCATAAGCTATTCATTTTAGTGAGATGCTTAGATCTAGGTCTTAGAAGGATTTTTTCATTTCCAATTTTTTTGATGGTTTTATTATCATTAGACAAACAATGTTAAAAAAGGAAAAAATGATTTTGAGTTTATAAAAATGTGTGGTCTAGATTCGCTTTTCGAAGGGACTCATTTTGACCGTACCTAAGATTCAAATTGAACTTTTTTTTTTTTTTTTTTTAGGATTAATTATTGAAATGAAGAGAGTATGTTGCAAAATTTTGGGCCATACAAATACCACAAACATGGTTTTATAGAAGTGTCGTTGCATTAGATCATTGTTATACATATATATATATATAAAGAAATGCTTGTATAAACCTACTAACCTACAACTACATATAGGCCCGACGTCCCATATTCAATTTGAGTTGATCTAATAATCACGATTGCATTTAGTATTTTAATTTTAATTTTAATTTTTATATATATATCCAAATCACTTAAAATTTTGGATATATGTTCTTTAAAAATATTAGAATCCAATAAAAATATCAAAAAATTATTTTGTAAAAAATAAATTAACCAAAATACCCCCCCCCCTCCTCTCCCCCCCCCAAAATTAAAAATATTTCGATCAATTTATATTTTGAAAAAAAAAAATTAAAATATTTTGATTAAATGCGCTTGATGACAAGAATAGACGTCCAAAATTTCATCCTTGAGATCTCATCCCCACCCTCAATTCCCTCCTATTCAGAGCTGTTTCTGTGGAACTCTTTGAACCCCCATCTCTCTTTACTGTCTCTAGAAACCCTAAGCTCTATAAAGTGGTAGAAAAAAAGCAAAAAAAAAAAAAAGAAAAATTATTCAGTTTCTTTGCTGATTTTTCTTATTCCATTGATCAGGAAACATTTCAAGGATTTCTTTCACAGCTTGGAGGTACGTAAATCCGCTATAGGTAAAAGACAAAGAATGGATAGAAAATGAAAGGCATAAAAGAGAGAAGTGGTAGAAAGAAAGAGCGAAGTGGTAGAAAGAGAGACTGAAAAGAGGATGCGGAGAGAGCAACAAGAAGGAGAGGGAAGGATTCATTGCCTTTACCATAGCCTTATCAATTTTAGTTTGTGAAATGAGTTTCCATATCTTTGCCATCATGCGGGCCAGACGTGTGAAACAATAGGTTGTATGCTGAGTTTACTGAGCATTTGCCATCCCAAATCATCTCCTCTCTTTTATTACCTGGAGGTCCTCCAAACCCTGCATAAACTAACCTACTACTGATTCTAGGTCTCACTTGTGCCTGCACACAATCAACCATGTTTGTACTGTCATTATCCAAACACGACTTCATTTACCTTAGCTACTGGTTGTGAGACTTTCCAGAAGAGCTCTAGGTACTGAGTCATCACTAATCTTGTGTTCCTTTAAAGAATAGGTCTAATATGTCTGATTCCCTTTCACATGGCCAAAGTAGCTACAGTACTTATTTCTCTTCCAATCAACTTAGTTTCCATGGTTAGGCCATATTAGTCCACTGATACTTGTTTCCAACAGTCTTTCCTTTCTCACGCTCATCTACCACCATTGGGTTAAAGTTTGACATTAAGACTACTTCATTAGGCCTTCCAGGTATTTCAACAACACGTCAGCCTACACTTGCGCAAAAGATTTTGCAGAAGAAAATTTGTGAACTATTCAGGCATTTTTTTATGGGAAATCTATTCAATAAGATCAGACATCATATTTAAACAGCTGGGATATGCCAGTTCTCCACTCAAGGTCTGTCAAAAACTTCAAGGGGTGCCTGCACAACATAGTTGTCTACACACCATTCAATGAATAGGATAATGTGAAGCTCCCCATAGAACCTCATTTACTGCCTTTTTTGTATAAGAGCCCCTTCTGAAGTGCGCCTTATGCGTTATATAAACTTTTTCCTTTGATACAAACTTCTAAGACTGATTTTGAAGAGATTAACCACCTGGGCAGAAACATCACGGTCACGTGGAGTCACACTTGGCGAGAAAGCAATTCCCTAGCTGACACTCTTTGCCAAGTTGGGTGCCACTAATGTTAGCATCTGAAGTTTTTTTTGCAAGCTCAGTCCACAATTATGCATCTGTATCTCCACTCAATGTTTTCTAAGTTTTTTGGATAATCCACGTATATTGCTCCCTCATAGAGGGTTGCCATTCTTGTACGTATATAGTCTCCGCATTTCGGAAACTCAATTTTGTACCATCCCTACCTTTTAATACAACAGTTAACTTCATCAAAAAAAAACTTCCAATGCTGATTAACCCAATTCACAATTTCTAACCAAGGGCATCTGTTAGTCTTAAAACCTTGTTTTTTGTATGGATGAGAGACGTCTAATTGTTTGAAGCATGTCTTCCACTAAAATCATGCAACGCCTGTAATAAGAACTTCAAAGCTATTCTGAAATTACAAATTGTTTGATTCCTCATACTCATCAAATAGCAAAAAATTTGTAATGTAAAGCCTTATGTTAACATTCAAAAAGAAAATCAAAAGGGAAAAAAGGATGTCAACTCATGGTAGGGCATACTTCTTCACATAATCGAATTGTTGATTTTTTGAAAAAAAAATGTTGCTGAGCCCTTTTATTTATATAAAGAAAGGATGGGGAGACTCTTCAAAGACAGTGAATTTATAACACAAACAAATACACACACACACACAAAACACAGAGAGAGAAACAAAGAGAGAGAGAGAAACTTTTGAACAAAAGAGTTTGAATTTTCTTTGACTGGCACAAAACTAGAAAAATCAATCCTCTACTTGCATCCCAACAATATCTAGTGAAAATACCCAAGAACCTGACCACCCACATTCTGTCTCATTGCTTCTTCATGATCCAATAACCCATTCGGAGTCGTAACCACAACATATCCCCACTACAGACACAAAAAGAAATAAATCAATAAATTGGCACATGAAGATTGACGTTCAAAATTACTCAATATCACTAGTGTTTGCATCTGGTCAACGTTTCATAAGCAGCACCCCATAATTACCAAACAAGTCAGAGTAAGGGCACAAATAACTCATGAAACAGAGATTAACTTGTTTGCACAATCTAAGTGTGAGCCTTTTTCTATCTATGGGAAATGTCAACTGCATAATTTTGGTTATTTGATAAAATCCCTAAATGCACCAAATAAGAAGTCAGTCGATATGACGATTGATGTTAATGATTGAAGAATATAATGAATCTTTTGGTTTTCTGAGGAATAAGTAATCTTGGTCATTACGTGGTCGACATGCCTATGAAAAATCAAAGTCTTGATAGAAATTACTCAAGGCGACCAAAATCAAATTTGCATCCATCTCACATGTGTGGAACCATTGAAGAGGTTGAGACCATACTCAACACCTTCCTTCGGACCATAATGGCACTCTGCCATAATTTTGGAAGCATTTGCTGAAACCACAAGGCATTAAAGTGATGCATTTTTCAGAAAGGAAAACACTCAGCAGACAGGTCATATATGAACTTCTTTTCACAAGGATTAATGACTAGGAGAGACCATGTTAGACTAAAAGGGATTGGTCAACCAAGTAATCAATCAATGCCTTACGGCTTTTGGGCCAAGTGAGGGATTCACTGAGTTCTTTAGCACCATAATTTACTTGAAGACCAAACACACCAATGCATCTTTTCATTTTCTTGGTTAAATTCTTCAAACAATCAGCCATGAACCTTCATAATGAACAAACTTGTTGAATTTTTAGTATATGGATTGCTCATTCCATAAATATTCATACACCACCAGAAATAAAAAAAGGGACTTGATTCCAAATATGGAAATTAGCAAGTGTAAAACATGTAGCCATACATGTTCAAGCCTCAATCATTTGCTTTGATTGCAGACAAAAATAGTCTTCAGGAGTATAAGAAAGACACTTCTCTTTATAATACCCCCAAAGCCTATTTTAAATCTTATTTGCAATCAATGGAATGATTGACATATAAAGAATGTTAAAAAGACACGTGCGCACACAAAATAATAACCATAAAATACACTTTAGAAAACCAATATTGTTATTCATAATTGCTGTCGTGAAAACTTTAAAGTGATAGTTTGGAAATCCTTCCAAAAGTTTTCTTGCAGAAAGTTGACATGAATGAGAGATTTGTATATGTATCAAGTTGCTCCATGGTAAGTAGGCAAAGGCATAAAGATTTGAAAGGCTAAAATGCAAGGAAATTTTTTTGATAATGTTAACTTAGAGACTAAAATGCAAGGAAGTTGAGCACCACAAATAATGAGTTTCTCCCTGCTCCCAAAACGAGTAAAGGAGTCCTTTTAAGTTGTTATCCTCTCACCAAACATGGGAGGTGGATCACCAATCCATTGCTGCAAAGCTCATAAATTTCCTCTGTTGCACTATAAACCCATCAAATGCCACTAACCAAGTCTTCAATCACCATGAGTGACCATTAGAGATTGTAAGACCACCTCGAGACACATTAAAAGAGCCCTCGCATCCCCAAAACACTTCCCACTCTTTATGGGAGGGTAAATGACCAAAAGGCCTGAAAACCAAGGATGACACATGAGGAACGGTTGGTTTTGAGGGTTCCCCAGTGAAGGCAAAATGTAAACACCTCTTTTGTAGGAGAGAAGCAATCATTGCTTAGCCATGGCAAGCAAATCACCGAAACGCACCTGCCTGCCTAGAGGGCATCAGGAGTTTGTATCAATCACAAACATAGGTTTTAAACATTAACTCAGATATCCAGGGACAACTAATAGTATAATCAGATGTATTTTAACCATTCTGATTGGCTCACTAGCAAACCATCCAATTATACATGGGCAAAGTGGATCCAGAGTGGAGATATGACGTGCTACAGTAAACTGCATGGTTATTGCCAACTATCATGCATGTTCCTCATGCATTTAGGGTTAGGTTCTCTTAATTTTGGGGTAGTTAGAATGCCACAGTTTTCTCTCCAACAACTATTCTTGGCTTAAATTAATTGGAAGTTAACGTGTATTCTTCTATCTGCGTATTGCCAATTCAAAGAAGACTACAGGACTTCACAAGTGCGTATCTCCACGCAAGGCACTCAGCATAAAGGGCTAAAAGTGTCCTAAAACTCCTAGAAAGCATCTCAATCTTTTCAGGATTCCATTTGTATTGTAATGACTCTTTTTTTTACTATTCAATTCAAGAATTAGGACACATGAATCCCATGCATCCTTACCTCTCTCTCATCTACCTCTTCTCTTAAACAAATCATGTGTTAATCACCACCATAGATATAGGGATCACCCAACTTAGGTGGCAATCGCGCTCAGGGAATGCAAGATCCGAAAAAACAATCTCACGATTCTGGAGTAAAATTTTGGTCCTGTTATAATTCCTTGTGGAAGTAACACAATCCCAATCCTAATAGGATTGGGCAATATTGAAGGACACCCATATGTATACAAATTTACCCAAAAGTTTAAGAATGGTCTTTAATGCTTCCAAAATCCCTTTAGCAAAGGGAACTATGGGTTCTACATCTAGCAGATTTTTTCAAATATGGTTTGTTGGTTATGGAGCTTCTTGTTAGTAATGATTTTTTTTTTTTTGGAAGAATGGTTAACTGTAGAATTAAATATCATAATGTAGTACAAATGTAACCACTTTTAGGTGACCCACAAGTATGGGTGCTAGTACAAAATGGGGTAAACTATAAAAAAGGAAAAAGAAGCAACAGGAGGTTCAGCCTACAAGGAGTAGGCTGTTACAAACTATCAACAGACAAGAGAGAGGACAAAGAAATGAGAAGAAAAAGGTGGGAGTGATGATAGAGGGAGAGAGAGAGAGAGAGAGAGAGGAGAGGTGTCTTGATTCTATGCTGTGAAGTATGCTTGCTCCATAGGCGAGGAGGCTCCTTGTTTAACCAAGCTATCTGCTACTGTGTTCACCTCCCTTGGAATAAAGATTGAATGCCAACCGAAGTCCCGTACAAATATAGCAGATATAATAAAAAAAGTGGGCTAGACTCCACGGGGACCGTTGGCCCAAGAGGTAACACTACTGCTGTCACCTTCCAGTATAAGGTCTTAAAAGTTCTTTAAGTGGGTGATTGATTGCTTGAGGCCCTCTAGGATGGATACGGTTTCGGCAATAATGGAGTCTGTGCACCCTATATGACCTGAGAAGGAAGTTATTAGACCACTGTGACTAGAGACACAACCTTCATACCCCATGTGAACCGGGTTCCCAAAAGAGCATCAGTCAACATTTAGCTTCAAAGTGCCCAGTGGCATGGGGGTGCCCAAACTATCCGAGGAATAGACAGGTGTGGGGCCATGTGCATGACGTAATTCCAATGGGAAATAAAGAGCCAGGAACCAAAATTGGCACGCTGTGGCAATCTTTTAGACCAGGAGATTGTGAGAGCTTTAGTGAGGTGTAGAATAGAAAGAAGTGGCCTTTGTTAAGCCTGGAAAATACTAGAGTCCCTTTCATTCCAAACCATCCAAAGGAAAGCTCGGATAGACATTCTCCAAATATTGCGAGTATTTTGGGAAGCGACGGGGACATAGGCATGGAATAGCTGTCGTAGGTTTTGTGGATAGACCCATGGTGTATCAAAAAGCTGTACCAGTTGGACCTGTAGCAGTGAGATGTCTGGGCATTGTAGAAGCAAATGTGTGGCAGTCTCCTTGTCCTGCTGGCACAATATGCAGCAGTTGGATAGATGGAGACCCCTCCTTTGGAGCTGATCTATGGTGAGAATTTTATTATGTGGAAGTATCCAAAGAAAGGCCTGGATCTTTAGAGTTACAGTGGTTGACCAGATCTTGACGAAAATAGGATTATGAGGTTGATTTGGCTGCGGCGAGTAATAAAAAGAAGATATTCCCATTAGGAGAAGGGAACCTAACGAGTTGATCGTCCCCTTCAAGAGGGATGAAGTGCGAGTATAGGTTTTGTTGGACGGCCAATAACTGTTCGGCATCGTTCTCAGATAAAGCCCTTCTGAATAAAGGAGTGGACAGCATGATTCCACTTGTTCGATCAATGTAGCACCTCACATTGTCTGATCCGTTCAAGGCTAGGGAAATCAATCCAGCCAACTTTGGGCCAAGGTTTTGGTTCCTAGCCACTGGTCTGTCCAAGATTTTACTCTACACCCTTGGCCCACTTTAAATCTGATCCTAGATACAAAAAAGGATGTATTCTTCTGTTTTTTTGGTTTTGGGGGGGAAGAGGGGGGGGGTTGTTTGGTGGTGGGCATGGTAGCTCCGCAAGGAAGGGATCCCCTAAAAGGATAAACTCTTGGGCATAGTGGACCCACACCCCTGATGCTCTCTGTCTTGGAATTATATTATTGGGAACCACCCATCCTCTTTGCAGCCATCTTGCTGCGCACCACCTCCTTCCACAATTGGGCATATGTAGATGCAAATCTCTACCACCATTTCCCTAAAAGAGTGACGTTAGTTCCCTCAACCTTCTCACTCCTAAACCACCTGCTTTTTTTGGCCTACACAACTCATTTTAAGCTACAAGGTGAAATTTGTGTCCTTCCCTCCAGTCCATAGGAAATTACACATTAGGAGCTCAAGCTTCTGTGCCAGACCAGCTAGGTTGTGGAACAAGGACATAAAGTAAGTTGGGATGTTTGCAAGGGTAAACTTGATGAGAGTTACACACACACCCCTCCCCCTACAAATAAAAAGAAAAGAAGGGAACCTACCTTTCCAAATAGCAAGCCTTTTATAGAAGTTTTCTATGACAGTGTCCCATAGGTTTCCCTACACATAGAGGTAAGTAGGGGAAAAATTCTGACACAGAGCCTAGATGGCAGGATAGAGCCCTCACGTCTTGTTCCAACATCCTCACCCCTTGTTCTAACATCCTCACCCCGAATATCCTAGACTTGCTGAAATTGATTTTCATTGCAGTGGAGAGCTCATAGCATCTCAAAAAAAGCCAAAGTTTGTTGAGTAGATTGGGGCAGGCATTTGTGAACACTATGGATTGTCACCATAAAAGAGGTGAAATTGGAGCCCTTTACTTGACGACTAAAAGCCCTGGAGGGCACCTTGTTGGAACAATTTAAATACGGATTTTGAGAAGAGTTCCCCATAGATGGCAAACAAGAAAGGTGATACAGGATCCCCCTGTCCCAGCTCTCTAGCCGTCATAAAATAACCCTCAGGGCCCCATTGATAAGTACAATGACGGAGGGGTTGGAGATACAGCCTCAGATCCAAGCCCTCCATCTGTTCCCAAACCCCATCCTTTCCTAGATCTCCTTTAAGATTGACCAATCGATAAGGTCATAGGTTATTTTGCAGTCCAGTTTGATAACCAAACCTCTCTCCCCTGATAAATATCTGGAATCGATGGCCTCATGGGTGATGAAAGTTCCATCGAGAATTTGTCTACCGGCCACAAAGGCAAATTGAGATTTGGAGATGATCTTTCCAAGGACCTTGTTAGTAATGATATTTCGGCTGGTCATCTCTAAGAAGGCGCTGACCACATACCGAATCCAAAGGAAAGGCATCCCACATTCCCAACGATATGCAACAATGTGTAAGCAAGTGGAGGAATTCATCAATTTCCTGGTTGCTGCCATTACATCTGTGACATGAAGGTGATGTCTTTTACTTGCTAGAGTGTGAATGAGGTAGAAAGGCCCTTACTACTGAGGTTGCTATCCTCGGTGTTGATTTTATTCTTGATGTATACTTCCCACTCTGATTCCTAACGAAATTTTTTTTGAAAATGTTAACGGTTAATATTATAATAATAAGAGTCTCACAAAAGTAAGGGTCAAGGTGACCCACAGACCGGGTCTATCAACCAAAAATTGGTCACTAGGGAGTGACCTGTTCTAAAGACCTTTGATTCCTAATGAATTTTGGTACCAAAAGAGAGAATAAATTTTTCTGCCCTCTCCTAAAACCTTAATATTATCCTAACTATCAATAATAATAATAATAATAATAACAATGATGATGAATGATTTTATCCTAAATGTAACCTAAAAAGGTATTCGTTTTTTCTATCCTGATTGATACTAGTAGGGCTGAGGTTTTCATATGGAATCCCAAATCAAAAGATCTAGTAAATTCCTTATTGCATGAATCACAATGGAAACCAAAAAATACAAAAGTCGCATAAAGTAAATAATGCATTCAACATTTGGTTTCCATGGAAATCCACTACTATAAAGTATGTTCAAAGTATCATGCTTCTTGAACATTCAACAAAGCAAGTAAAAAATTCACATTTTTCACTAACCAACTAGAAAGGTATACTTGGTAGAAACACCAATTCTAGATCAGCATGACAACACGTAGCAAGATCATTATTATAAATTGATTTTCTTACAAGAAAAAAACATAAGACACAATGGGTCCTAAGCTTGCAAATCATCATCATCATCATCCAAGCCTTATCCCAATTATTTGGGGTTAGCTACACGAATCATGTTCCTCCATTATTCACTATTAAATTGGATTTCTTGCAAGAAAAAAACATAAGACACAATGGGTCCTTAGCTTACAAATCATCATCATCATCCTTAGCTTACAAATCATCATCATCATCAACCAAGCCTTATCCCAATTATTTGGGGTCAGCTACACGAATCATGTTCCTCCATTATTCACTCTTAAAGGTCATATCATCAGTAAGGCCAAAAGTCACCATATCTTTTTTCACTACTTCTATCCATGTCCTTTTTGGACCTTTTTAGAGTCTTCCACTTGAACCAAATCGCACCTCATAACCGGTGTTTTATTACATCTACGCTGCACATTGCCAGCCCACCTAAGTCTACTTTCCCTCATCTTATCGCCTATTGAAGCCACACTTAAGTTCCCTCATATGCATTCATTCCGAATCTATACTTTCTTGTCTTGCCACTCATCCGTCTCAAAATCCACATCTCAACTAAGCTCATCCTATAGATATGTTGTTTTTAAGATCACAAGTAAACCATAGTTCCTAGATAGGCAACCCCCTAATTACATTGAACATGGTCTTCATGGTAAGTAGTTGATTTAAGATTGCAAGTCTCACTGGCCTATTGTTATTTATATTTCCAGAATAAAGAAATCGAGAACGTTACTGAATCTACTCATACCTAGATCCCCCATACTTGCAATCTATATATGCAAGAGAGAAGAGATAACTTCGAAATAAGAATTATTTATTTAAAGATAAAATGTACAAATAGATTTTTTTATTCAAAGAAATGTACAGTCATAGGACATAGAAAAGAACAATATATTCAGTAAAAATACAGTTATTAAGGAAAATACAATTTGTACCTGACGTGTAGGAAGCATACGCAATCTGTAGTGTTCAATATCCTTTGCCTTGAGGTCTTGTCTATAGGTAAGAGCTTTGCAATCATTTATCCTGCCTTGGAGTTCTACAGTGATCTTCCCCACTCTATGCATGTCTGTTACTTGAAAATCTTTAATGTATCCTGGATAACAGAGGACCAAATTTTTAAGAATTCCCACAACCATGGAATAGAATGACTCATCAAATCATATTTACACTTGCAGCAACATTAAGCTTCTTTTTCTTTTATGGATCAACAAATGTAGATTATTGAATTCAAGGGAAGGATATTGCTCCAACGAATGAATACTGGCTCTAATGGGCGCAAACAAATAGTAGATAAAGTGCTTCGGTTCAGATTCTTGGAATTTATAAAAACCCACAAAGAAAGTATTGGAACAACAAAATATAGGTTTTGTAAAAATAATGGGCAAACAGCAAAGCAAGAATGAATCCCGTTGCGTGAATCAGTTAGTCGTTGACGATTGCAACATTACATCCAAATTCAACTCCCACCACTTAATTACCCAAAAAAGTTCATTACAGCTCAAATAATCTTCAAAATTTTTATTGAGCTGTTTCATGAATGGCAAAAGTATAGAAAGCTGAAACTATTTAACAACATTTGAAGATATAAGAAATTTTTTTCAATAAAAATCAATGCATTTTGTCTCGAATAGTGGCCTTGCAACAAATATACAGAAATGGCCATAATGAGTAGCTCCAACAACAAAAGGTAAATAAACATTTCCAATATACATGACACAGTTCAGATGATAAATCGGAAAACACACAAAAACTAATAATGATAATTGAAAGAGTAAAGGAACAACCTCCAATTAAATCAATATTAGAAATATGAAAACCCCGCCTTTTATTTTTTACCAATAAACACACAACTCCATCTCATATACCCCAAAAAGTAAAACCCATTAATTCAAGAAAAATAATCAAACTTTTTTAAGGAATAACTGCAACAAGATATCCATGAAAGCGAATTCATAAGAGAGCCATGTTTAAACATTATATGAACATTCGAATGAATCAAGAGAATATTGATGTAATCAAAGAGCAACATTAGCAGCGACATCTAAAAGAGAACAAGAATATGATCCACGAAATGGAGACTAGAGAGAGAGGAACTGAATAACTGCTTATTATACCTCGTTGTTTCATGATTTGGAGGAAGGAAGCAATGACATTGGAGACCGGTTGCAGATTGACGGTGGCCTTCCCCCTTCTGTCTGCATTCACTATACTTCTCAGAGCATCGTTCAATATCCTCCTCCCCATCTCTGTCTCTCTCTACCAGATGCTGTAAGCTGCAAAACGAAGAGATCCTCTTTGTGTGCATGTACTCAACCAGACGAGAGGAGAGTGTTAGGGTTATTGTCCTCATTCGAGAAGTTCGAAATACAGGATCTCGAAAAGACAAAAAAAATAAAAGGAAAAAATTTATATAGAGCCGAGGCTCCAAACAATCAAATTTAAGCCTACCTCAAAAATTTCACCAAAAGAGATTATTGTGATGCTCAAATATCTTTAAATTGATCATCAAGACATTAAGAAGCATGGACATAAAAATAGATTTAAAGTTTTGAAAATAATATATTTTGTAATGTATTTTTGGACCGTCAATTTTTAAGATTATCAGTTTTTCATAGATATGTCAATCTAGACTATTTTTTAAACAGTCAATCTACTCTATTTTTTAAGCTTTAAATTTTATAAATAAATATAAAAATATATTTTAAAGCTAATATAAAGATTTCCAATATTGAAACCACATTTGTCGACACTAATTGAAAGTAAGCTATAATTTGATTGTTTAGAGCCTAAGCCCTATACAAACCGCACCAAAAATAAAATGAGCCGGGGGTGGAGCTTTTTTAAAAGGACTATGGACTCATTTTCATGTCTTTTAAAAGCAAAATATCGCGACCGAGAATGATTTCTCGTGAGATTTATTCTTAAAAATAAATGGTCTCTTTAGACGATCCCATAATATAATAAAATTATATTTCTAAAAAACCTTGTTAGTACCATTTACTATACTGTAAATTTTGCACAAACATTCTCTTCATCTTAGGTATAAATTTCTAGAAAATTAATATTTAATTTGCCCATTATTATACCAATAAAAGTTACATCAAAGATTTTGAAACGGAGAGTTACATCTCTAACTCTTAACAAAATTCAATCGAGCAAACCCCTTTAAATCATTTTTCCTTCATTCTTTTTACTTCTGGCAACTATTATCGATAACACCAGATAGAGACGTCAGAGCAACGATGCACACAAATTCTTTGCACTTTCATACTATATAAGGTTAATAATCCACACTAAATAGGAAACTTTCTATACATGTTACATATATCTCAAAAATCAAGAGATATATATCCAAGTGTCCTAATCCTTTTCGATTTCTATTTCTTTTAAGAAACTTATCAATATCAATCTCAAGCCCACCTAATATGGAATTTACTAATGTGTGTAATTTTGGATAGTATCAAATCTAACAGTTTCTCTCTCTAAAAATATTGAGATGTTTCACGTCGCCCTAAAATTTTTTAGTGCTTTCTCTCTCTAAAAATTTTAATAACTCACCACGTAAAAGGTCCAGGTACATTGGCTGAGTCGATTTTTAGCATAACAAACAATATACAACATAAAAAAGGTACAAGATCAGACAAAGAACTACTGATTCTCTCATTTTTATACCCCTAAAACATGGGTTGGACTCAAGCGTGTTACTCGACTCACTGGAGTCCACTGTCCGAGTAACTTGGCCAAGTGGATTTTCAGTACACTGATAAAACAATATACAACATAGAAAAGCTACAAGATCAGGAGTGAAGAACTATTGATTCTTTTATTTTCATACCCCTCCAGTTGACTAGAGGAGAAGGATAGAGATCTCCATGGATATATTGATCACATATAATTTTATGGAAAAGTATACAATGAGATTATTTATCTTTGGTACAAGATGGTCACAATTGATTTTGACTATTGGATGTGAAATTAGATGGTTGCATTTATTCCATTAACCAAGCTCAAACTTCAAAAGATCTCGAACTTTGTGACACATCCAAGCTATCAAATTTCAAATTGGATGGTTGTAAGTAATTATGACCTCCTTGAATCAAAAGTAAATGGTCTAATTGCATACAATCCCAGATTTTATTGGTCACGTATATAGCCTGGAGAAAGATTGAGTACTATCATAATCGAATTGATGCATGGAGAAAGAACAAATCCTTCTCTATGATTAGAGGAGAAACATCATATCTTTCCCTAACCATATCAACAACAGATGAAGGCTGACATGATCATATAGATTCATGGAAAGATTATGATGTTTCTCTGTCGATACATATTGCACTTTATTGTACTCATTTTTTTCTCTTGTTTTTCTTCTATATTTTTTGTTTTTACTCTTAAAGAGATGTGATAAGTGGTTTAAGGTTTTTTTTTTGTTGAGTCGTATCACTAGTAAGAAAGTTCTTTCTTTTCTCATTTTAGAGGAACTATGATACGATAGGTTTCTTCTTTTGTTTAGTGTGAGGTTGATTCACTACGCTACTTAGTGTTTTGTATATTTATGTTTTGTATATTTATGTTAAGTCTCTTTCCTGAGCCAATATCGAGATGTTAACTTGGTACGATTTAGATGAGTAGTGTTTTGTATATTTATGTTTGGAAAAAGTTTATATAAGGTTGCATCCTTAAAATGTAGAAATACGGATGGATCTCAAAAATCCATCAGAGAAGGTTGTTTAAACGTTGAAAAACCCTCTAGTTGATCATCTCGACATAGAAATGTATGAATATTACAAAAAAAAAAGATTTTGAGTCTCGAAAATAATGCATCTTACAACACATTATCTAGACCGTCCATTTTTTAGATTTTTATATGTTTATAGATCTACTTGATTTTAACCATTTTTGGAGCTTAAAATTTTATAATTAGATACAAAGATAGATTTTTAGATAGTCTTAATAATTTTTTACACCAAAATTATATGTTATGATAAAATTTGGAAGCGCACCTTAATGAAAGAAAGACATATGTGATCTTTTACCGAGGAATACATTTCTTTTTCTTTTTTTCTTCACTCCTTTCTTTTGGCAAAAGATAACTTATAGGTGGTCTTTATTGCAATAAGAAAAATTTTACAAGAAAATCAACACAACAATAAAACCAAGATCTTAACAACTTAATGTAATTGAAACATCTATGCACTATACTTGATAATAAAAGATAAGATTGCAAAAAACAAGAGTAAGAGTGCTGGAGATTACTTCAACCGGGTTTATTACACCTCACATCGAGTCACCATCATTCGATGGTGCGGGATCAATGATCAACTTTCAATCTCAACCGAAAAAGCAAGTTTAGGCTAAGTCATACTAATAGAGCATGAACCCTTTTAATCACAAATTCAAACCCTTGGTGAATTCTCTTAATAACCTATTTTAAGAGAGATTGATTATCTTTTTGCTAAACCCTAAAACCCTTATCTATAAATCCGTAGTTAAGAGATAAGAGAGAGAAGAACTCCTTAACTTAAACATTTAGGTTCTTTCACAATGTGGGAGAGAGAGATCAAAGATGAGAGAGTGGTGTGTGCCCCCTTTGGTTTTCATGAGAGATAGAAGTTTTTCTTAAGAGAGAGAGAGAAAAAAATTCTAAGTGGGGTGTACCCCTTAATGGGATATGAGAGAGAAATATGATAATTAAGTATAAGAGATAAGGTGTAGATATTTTTTGGGTAGAGAGAATCATTTTTTATAGGCTTTGAATAAGATTATGGTTCCTTAGGGTTTTTCTTGGCTTGTCTCTTCTTGTTAGATTGAATGTGAACCATTGATCTTAGGTGACTTGTGGGGTGAGAGATTTGAGTCATCCATTCTATAGATATGCCATCAATATTATAGAATGTGCATGAATCATTATCCCCTATTTCTAAACCATTTTCCCATCAATAGAAATTAAATAAATTAAATCTAATCAAAATATTGTGCAGACCATAAAATAGCACAAGTCAACTCAATCTTTCTCCAAAATCTTTCAAAATTATGTTAAGTCAATATTTTGTCAATATCTTCCAACCATATGGCCACATGCCATATCACCAAAAAATAAAAACAAGAATAAGGGTAGAGCGTGCCACCCAAGGGAGGCACTCATGGGCCCCATCTTTTAGACATATGGTAGGCCCATGTGCACAATGGGTCCCCATGATATTTTTATATATTTAAAATTAATAAAAGGATTTTAGAATATTATTTGAATATTTAAACAATTGTAAAATCAATATCTTTAATTTTATAAATCCAAAAATTATAAATAAAATATCCACGAGTTCATAAAAATTCAAATAATAATCCAAAAATAATTTTCATTATAAAATAAATACAATTAAATTAATTTGATGGGAAAACAATCCGTATGATTTAGGAATCAACAATCATGAGGCACTCCACCTTCAACTGTGGACTACATATCACACTTGCTTTATCAGACCGACCCAGTGTTTTTCATGACCCACAGTCCAAGCAGGGGCTCATTAGCGGGTCACAAAAGTCAAGCCGATGAGCCAAGGGGTCGCAATCCCTGTTTGTGGATTTCAGGTCCTCTCCTAGAGACGAGTCAAAGTCACCTAGACCTGATGCGACCACAGCTCCTATGATGCATAGGGTACCTCTTGTACATGCATACGCTTCACCCTAAAATGTGGATTTTTGGCTTTTTTGAACAATCTATCGATATGCATGTCGTGTGATAGTACATGGATGAGGCTTTGACCCCCGTCTCTGTAGGCCACCATCACATATAAGGGTCACACAGTCCCTCGGCTTACTCATCTGGGCATATTTTTCGATCCCATCAAGGGCTCACCCATTAAAACCCTTCTCGGCTTATTCTTTATGCCCAGATAACATGGATTTTTTTCCAACCGACTAACCTAGATTGTCAAACACAGTCTAGTATCAACAAACATTGTTTGCTTAGTATGGTCCATGGGAGACCACACTCCCACTGCATTCATATTTCACTATATCATTTCATTTTACAAGCACTCATAAGGCTTTTAAATGCCACATTAACCCAACATCTCCCACTTGGCCAGTGAAGGCCTTCTCTCTTTCTTACTTTCTCTCATTCCTATCTCTCTCTCCCAATTACAATTTATATCAAGCATTTTTACTTATTCTCTTAATACATTAATCATGGCTTTTACCATCAATCATTTTTCAAAAGGATTTATAGAGGCAACACTTTTTTCTCTTTGCTGCTCGGATCTCATCCCAAAAATGGTCGTAGCTCATCTTTTACATCGCATCGCGAATCATGGATCTGTTGTCGCAGAAGACCATCACGTACCCTCATCGCATGTGATCGTATGCTCATGGGCTCAAAAGAGTTTTTCAAATAAGCTGCTCTT